GCTACTCCTTCCAGCCTTGAATTTCAGGGCTTAAATAGAAAAGTTCCTGAGCAAAGCAGTTGCAAGGGAAGGGGCAGTCTTGGGAAAGGAACCCCTTTCAGCCAGGGAGGGCCTGCCTCTCTCGGGGAAATTGCTCTTTCTCACTGGAATCCTAACTCTTGGCCCCCTTGGCGGCGTCACTGCTCCATGTGTAGGCAGCTCTGGGTGGCTCGCTGGGGAATGGCCAGTCCGCCCCGCCTGCAGCCCGGCCCTCTCAGAAGTCCCGCGCGGCTCTCCGAGGCCACCCGTTTGCTCACATGGGACCGCCTTGAGTCGGAATTAACGAAGAACTGCGAGGCCCCGGTGGGGCGGGAACAGGGGGAAGGTGTGAAGAGAGGGGCCTCAGGTCCGGCGCACCGTCTCCACCCGGGGGGCAAGGGCACCTCCCAGGTCTCCCCGTCCACAGACGCGCGGCCCGAGGGCGAGGCGGATGAAAGTACAGGGCAGAGAGGCTCAAAGCAGACGGACCGACAGATTCGCTGCGGGAAGACACAGACACACAGACAATCGAGGCACGGACCAGGGTCTGGCAGACAAAACGGGCGGAGGCTCCAGGGGGAAGCCCGTGGACGACCCAGCTAAGCAGGAGACACTCACATTCGCGGCCATCGTGGCACCCGGTCCGCCGCCGCCGCGCCCGGTGCAGCTAAGAAGCGAGTTGGTGACGACGGGAGTGCAGTCTCCTGGGCGGGAGATGCAGCTATCTCTGAGAGGCCCAGGACGACGCAGGACTTGCTACCGAGTTCCCGCCCCAGGTCCCTCCACCCCTCCGCCGCCCCACCTTCTTCTGACTGCGCGCGCCGCAAAGCCTCCTGGAACGTGAAGTCCGTGGAGGGCCCCGCCCCCTCGAGTCCCGTGCCTTCGCCGCAAAGTCGCGCCGTGTGCGCGGTGCCGCCTGGATGCGCCACGCTTTCTGGGAAATGTAGTTCCTGCCGCCGGGAGCGAGCCGGGCGGCGCGCGACCTGCTGGGAAATGTAGTTCTCAATTGAAAGGGACGGGCTCCGGCCAAGAGTGAGTGGAGGCAGGCGCGCGGCGGGCAGGCCTGGAGGGGGCGGGTCCCCGGCGGGACCCGGAGCCGCTCGCCCTACCTGGAGAGAGGTCACGGCGCGGGGTCGCTACCGCTGCTCCAGCTGCGTGATCCGAGTGCCGGGCTGCCGCCATGGCCTATTGCCGGCAAGAAGGTAGGAAGGACGAGCTGGCTGCCATAGAGACCGGCCTACGAGGGCTTGCAGGGGACACGCGCGCGACCCAGAGCAGCCCTCGGAGGCCCCGGCTCCCCGGAACCCGAGGCGCAGCCCTGGGGCTTCTTCCTCAAGGCCCTCGACGCGGTCTGGTGGCTGGAGGCGTCTCTCCTTTCTGCCGGTCCGAAAACCCAGGTTCGGGGGTGGGGACGGGGCTGGGCCAAGGTCATGGTGAGGCTCGAACCCACACCTCTGGAAAACCAGCACGTGGAAGCCCAGAAACTAGGCCCAGGGGGTGTGGAAATGCTGAGCGCGTTTCGCGGCCGTCAGCGGGGATTGATTGGTATATTACCCTCCTCCTCAGCACACACGTGCTTCCCCCCCGCGTTCGGCTGGAAGAGTTGCCACGCCGGTGCAGGAGCGCCCCGCAGGTGGGGTGCTTTCCCATGCGCAGCGGAGACTGAGAAGCAGGGGGCGAGCTTAACCGCACAAGCAAAAAGATTCAGGAGCCCCGGGACAACGCAGTCACGGTCTCTGAATAAGGGAGAAGGAGGCGTTTAGGTGGCAAGGAGCCCTCAAGGTCAGCAGTTCGAAACCCACGGACGAGGCTTTCAGCTCCAGTGCCTGTAAGAGTTATACCATTTGGAGAATCCAAAAAGACAGTTCTCCCCTCCCCTCTAGGGTCACTGTGAATCCGAAACGACTGGGCGGCAGCGAGTTAAGTGAGGACCTCGTATTTATTCCTGAAAAGAGGTGGGGAATTCCAAAAATCGGGTCCACGTGGGTGGGGGGTATGGTAATTGGCCGTGCTTGCAGCAAGGGCTCAACAATGGGGTCGTAGGAAAAGGCTTCTGCTGCTGAGTGGGGTGGTGTTACTTATGAGATGGCGCACGTGCACCAAGCAGCTAGCTCCTGGGGTTCAAGTTCTCTGCCCCGGTGTTCTTTGCGGGTGGGTTTAACGCGGTCACAGGTGTCGGGTGTGCGCCTGCTCCGATGACTGGTTTAAGCTGGCGAGAGCAAGAGGGTGGAGCCCAAACAGGTTTGAAAGATGAACGGGTTATGGGTCGTGCTTGAGCCCATGCATGTTGGTGTGGGGGAGTCCTCAGTCCTCTGAACTTGGAAAATAGAAGCGAAGAACCCAATCTCTTTCCTAATCTGTCTCATGGTCAGATACGATGTAGGAGTGGTAAAAGTACCCCTTTGGGGAACGTTTGTTAGCCCCTGGTGTACCCAGGTGGCATAGTGGTTACGCATTAGGCTTCCATCCGAAAGGTCAGCTGTTCAAAACCGCCAGCCGCTTCTGGGGAGAAAGACGGAGCTATCTACTCCCCAAAATAGTTCAAGTCTTGTAAACTCACAGGCAGTGAGTGTGCCCTGTTCTAGAGGTCACTCTGAGTCTTCATCAACTCGATGGCAGTGAGTTAGCATTTGGGGCGTGTGTTAGATTGTGTTCAAGGGATTTGTGCACGATCTGTTTCATTTGTCTCCCTGTGATCTTTATAAGACAGCTTTGTTTCTTATCCTCATTTTACTGAAGAGTTGCCTAAGGCACAGATACACATGGCCAGTAAGTGTTGGAGTTGGGATATGAGCCCTGGTGATCAGAACTGTACTGTACAATCTTGAACCTGGATTGGAAGGCCCCCGACTACCATCAGTCATGTTTCAAAGTTGGGCCCCACCCATACCTGACTGTTTCCTATTCATGTCTACCGAAGACCTCAGAATGTTGAAGTGTGACCAGGGGTTCATCTGAGTGCCATCTAATGCCTCTAGGCCCTGTTTTCCAAACGTGTAAAATGAGAGGTTGCGCTTCATTCATTCAGCAAGTAATCACAAAACACCTGTAGGCAAGGTGATGGGGGTGGTGGGCACAAGAATATAAAACTCCCAAAAAACACACCCTGATTCTTTGGTGAATAGTACTACACCCTTAAATAACTCAGGGCACCTAGGGACGCCTGGGAAGGGGGCTCAGATTGCTAGTTAGGGGCAGAACTCCTTCTAAAACATTGGCTTTTTTCTGTTCCCCAGCCTTATAGAACTCTTACCGTGGGTCTTAAAGCCATACTTGACAAGTGTTGTCTGACCTATTGTTTCAAACCATACTGCTGATGTCTTTAAAAACTCGGTGCCATTGACTGGATTCTGACTCTTAGCAACTTGTTAGGCACAGTGGAACTGCCCCATCTGGTGTCCAAGGCTGTAAGGAAGCAGACTACCGCATTTTTCTCCTCCATTTACGTAAGTGCTTTAACTTCTGCACCACCTGGGTTTCTCCTATATCCAAATGCTCTGAAATTCTCTTGTTGATTTTTTTTCTTACTGTTCTACTTTTCTGTGTATCTTCTCCCACTAAGAGCTATATCCCCAGCATCTAGCACAAGGCCAGGCCTATCATAGGTACTCAAATCTTTTACTGAATGAATCCTTGCTGCCCTCTGTCCTGAGTTAATTACTCACCTGTCCTAGTTTGCTTCAGGAACCACCCCATCACACCGCCTTGAAGTAAAATCCCTTAGCTTGACATTCATGGTGTTTGACAGCGTGGATACTGCCTTGTTCTCTGACCCTGAGCTGCCTGCACTTCTGTGAGTTCCACGGTGTTCCTTGCTGTGGTTTCTGCTCTAGTGCTCCAGTGCTAAGCCTGCCCTCCCTGTTCCGTCAGCAAAGTGTTTTTGTACCAACCATTGGCCAGATACGGAGGGGGCTTCAAAAAGTTTGTGGACTCCTTTCCAATCCCCCATCTGCGACGAAACCATTGCCAACATGCAGGTTTTTGTAACCACCCTAATGGGGGGGACCATCACTGTTGAGGTTGAACCCTCAGCTACGTTAGCAAACATAGAGG